TATATACTGACTTCTCTGTCTTTTCTCTACTGGATTACTTTGGAACATTCCATTTCAGAACAAGTTTATTTCTTCTGTAACAAGGCTGAAGGAAAAGGAATCTAATCATCTATGTAATTGTAGTTACATACACTGTTTTGCAGTAACTTTCACAGTTGATCTAGAAATTTAAGAGGTCTCCTTAAAAACATAATTTATCCCAGATACACACTAGCCTTGGCTCCTTTGGTGTAATGAGGCACTTATTAGTTAGCAAGAAATTTATTATTTTAATAGTCTTATATAGTTGGATTATATTCTAGGACAAAGGTCACATCTATTTTCCACTGTTAAATTGGCATGCATATAAGTTAGAGGTCTTGTCTTTTCTTAATTACATTTAATCATATGATTGGAAAGTTGCAAAATTCAGTGATTCCCAGTGGGCCTTCTCTTTTCTTCAATAAACGAGAGAGATACTGTTTGGTTGGCAGTCACTCAAAGTACATTCAACTGAGTGTACTTTCTCCTCCTCCTTCTTCTTCATCTTCTTTCTCTTCCAGCCTTGGAATAAATAAACTTTACCTGAGAAACTCTTCCTGCAAGGTTACAACAGTTTTGTAATTGCAAGCATTTAAAGATCTAACTTCTGAAATAAATTTTTCTATAACATGTCAAGTACCAAGACAAAAGGAAAAGTAGGAAACTTTATTGCAAATATATTGTTATGCACAGTTACTATGAAGGGTGGATAGTAGCTTATAGTACATTTTATAATAAAAAATGTCTGTTTTTTAAAAAAAAATGTAATTACATGGTTCTGGGACACCTTAACAATTTCATTGGCATTCGGATAGGCTGAACTTTGGCACCTTTGCCTTAGCCTTTTCTTTAATGGGTTCTGATTTGAATTGAGTAGTTTTCAGTTTTTTGTTTTTTTTTTTCAAATTTGTCCTTGATAATGTGAAGAGGATAGACATAGCATGTGTAGTTTCTGGGATGAAACTATATGCGAACAATCTGTTTAAATGGGCAAACTATTGGGGCGCCTGGGTGGCGCAGTCGGTTAAGCGTCCGACTTCAGCCAGGTCACGATCTCGCGGTCCGTGAGTTTGAGCCCCGCATCAGGCTCTGGGCTGATGGCTCAGAGCCTGGAGCCTGTTTCCGATTCTGTGTCTCCCTCTCTCTCTGCCCCTCCCCCGTTCATGCTCTGTCTCTCTGTGTCACAAAAATAAATAAACGTTGAAAAAAAAAATAAATGGGCAAACTATTACTTTATGTCTGAAGGCATATGTTGGAAATATACTCGATTCCTTGAACAATCAGAACAATAGATTTTGAAGGAATTTAATAGTCATTATCCTAGAGTTTTCCTTATGTCCTTAGCTATGCTATGATATGACATCATCACAGCATTTAATATTTACTGAACTCAAAGTGGAGTAGAAGCTAAACTGAACTATGAGATCATACTTATCCCTTAGGAACATAGATTCTAGGGAACTGGCTAGTTTTGAGATTTTACATTTTCATTCATTTGTGATTAAATCTTGACCTAAAGGGCTGGTGTATTCCGGGAGGGTGACTAATGCTATTCCATAAATCCCAGCTGGTTGGGATTTATAATTCTAAATGTACTTTTAAAACTTGTTTAAAGTCATATTTAAGTCTAATCAGGTGACCTACAATACAAACTGTGGAGAGGAATGAAATAAAAGATTGGTCACAAAAGAGTGCACGGGTTTTGATCCTTTTTTTTTGTTTGTTTTAAGAAATTTTTATTAAACTTATATCATCCATTTCTCCTATCCTTCACTTCCCACCTCTGACAACTCCCAATCTATTGTCTGTATTTATGAGCTTGGTTATTTATATTTATATTTATATTTATTTATATTTATATATTTATGATTCTACATATAAGAGATATCATACCATATGATACCATATGGTAAGATATGCCATATGATATAAGAGATATCGTATGGTATTTGTCTATCTCTGTCTGACTTACTTCACTTAGCAAAGTGCTATTGAGGTCCATCCATGTTGTCTCAAATGGCAAGATTTCATTATTTTTATGGATGAATGATATTCCATTATATATTATATATTATATTTATATCATGTATATATGATATTACCACAGTTTCATATGTACAGAATCATATATCACTATTATATATATATTTGTACCTTGTATCATGTATCCCAATTTCTGTATCTTGGTTACTATAAATAATGCTGCAATTAACATAGGGGTGCATATAAAAAAATAAACTTACATAGTTTGGACAGTTGAGAATGATGGCAGAAAAGAGCCACTGTCACATTGTATGTATTTGGCAATACAGATCTATGGCAACTGATAGGAAGAGGGACTCATTCAATAAAAATAAGAGGGAATTGAGGGCTGTCTAAAACACTCCCCTTTACTGAGTCCCCTTTACTGAGTTTCTAGCTGGCTTTTGTTATTTATCTTGGGTTTACATCCCATGACCAAAGATTCTCTCCTCAGCTACTAAGAATTCTCTTAGGAATAAAAACAAGGAATCACTCCTATAGATAACATCCTTATATGTAATTCTGACACGGTTTTATATACTATAGAGTCTTTTAATATACTAGAGCCTTAGCTTGGGTAATAAATCATAACATCAAATGTAAATATGATTCACTATAATATTCACCTGAAATTATTAGGATATTTTATGCCAATTATACTTCAATAAAAATACTCTTCAAAATTATTTTAAGTTTTTATTTTAATTTCAGTTAGTTAACATACAGTGTTATATTAGTTTCAGGTGTACAATATAGTGATTCAGCACTTCCATACATCACACTGTGCTCATCATGACAGGTGCATTCCTTAATCCCCATCACCTGTTTAACCCAACCCTCCATCCCCTTTTCAAAATTATTTTATTTTATTTTTTTTTAATTTTTTTTTCAACGTTTATTTATTTTTGGGACAGAGAGAGACAGAGCATGAACGGGGGGAGGGGCAGAGAGAGAGGGAGACACAGAATCGGAAACAGGCTCCAGGCTCTGAGCCATCAGCCCAGAGCCTGACGCAGGGCTCGAACTCATGGACCGCGAGATCGTGACCTGGTTGAAGTCGGACGCTTAACCGACTGCGCCACCCAGGCGCCCCTAAAATTATTTTAAAAATGTAAGTATGATTTATGTAACACGTATCAACAAACATAGTTAAAGATTGTGTGAGCAAGCCTGAAAAGATAATATACCTAAAGTTAACCAATGTAATATACTCTATAAAATGATTACTTTTGAAATAACCCAATTACCTTTTATCTTTTAGGCAAATTCATAGGATTCTATAAGAGTGTGATGTAAAATTGTCATTTTTCTTTCATTCTTTCTATTTCTGTAGTACTAATAGCAACTTAAGGGAAGAACTACTAAGTTAATTACACACACACACAACACATACACATGAATATTAAAGGTTCTTGTATTCTGTCTTGGAATGTTTCACAACTACTTTTATGGAAAGAAACAAGGCCCAGTTCTGAAGTTTTAGAACTTTGGTGGTGATGTGGGCTTTTTAACTTGTGAGGAAAATATGTAAAAATCTCCACTGTTTACATTTATGGGGGATACAGAGGAAAGGGAGAGGGTCTTGGAATTGAGGGTGAGGTTGGAGATAAGGTTACCATTGACATGTGGGAGTTCTCTGGCTAGGAGGGACTTTCTGAGAGGAGTAGAGACAGAGAGTCTTTGGATGTGGCTAAAATACTTGTGAATCATGTGAGTATTGGGCTTGATTAAAATTCTAAATTTTCTCTGACTCTGTGGTTGATCTCTTGATCTGTTTTCACTCCTGGTTCTACTAATGTGTTTTTTTTCCTCCTCTGGGGGGTGGTGAGCAGTCTATAAATAATACCTTATGTAGAGCTTCCTCTGATCTCTGCCCTTTGTTCTCATCTTTAGTGTGCTAGGTGAGTGTTTAGTTTTTTTCTAGGAAAACATTTTTCAATCATTAAACCTTTGGGTGAAGAATGTAGAAAAACAGTTTTTTTAACCCCCTCTTTATCTTTTTCAATATCTTTCAGAAGGTTTGAATTGAGAGAAAGAAGCATTTTTCTTTGGGTCATAATGAATAGCAAACTGACGATGCTTTCATGTTCTCCTTTATCAGTGTAGAAAAAGTCTGTATGTGTAATATGTGGGATTTACATACAGTCAAATGTGTTTTGCTTTCATTTCCATTAAACTTTTAAAAAGTTGCTTGTATATTGCTAAGTTATCAAAATATCTAGGAGTCTTAGAAAGACAGTGGGTTGTTTGTTCCATTGCTAAGGTTTATAGGAGATCTATTATTATCAGAATAGATGTGTTCACTGAACTTGTGTATTTTTAAACATGTGGAGCCAGACTTGAAGAGAAAAGCTTCCATTAGAATCTCAATGAGAAGGGAACATGTGTCAGCAGAGAAATACAAAGTAAGACATAGCAACACATGCTGGCCCTCTTTAAGTACTAAAGGGGAATTTTATATTCATCTGACCACTTCATACACCATATTTTTCAAATAATTAAGATAAATACTGGTTCATAATTGATATTTCACCTTATAGAAACTTGCCTTGTGAAGTCACAACAGAATTCTCACAACGGTGGTTATTTTTACATAGTGTAGGCTTTCATGGAGAATTTTGAAATGCACATTTTCCTATGTTATTTTAAAAATCTAGTAAAATAATCATTCTTAAGGATTTCATGGTTATGTATAGACAGGTGGGAAACCAAGGATGCTCTTAGATCCCTTTGGTTTATCTTCTTTCCCTCTAACGCCATGTGAAGGAGCAGTCTAATGACTCTGTTTGGTGTATTCATAAAGGTAATGCAATTAACGATATAATAAGCTTTTAAGACTCCGTCAAAGGAGACATTTTGGAAGTGCTGGTGGGGGTGGAGATGGAGGGGTTGGTGTAGCTATTTCCAGAGAAGGTTAGAATACTTTTAATTGCTGCTCACTAATCTCATGTTCCTAGGTGGATTAAATTTGAAGAAAAAGTGGAACAGGGTGGGGAAAGATGGAGCAAGCCCCATGTGGCCACATTGTCCCTTCACAGCTTATTTGAGCTGAGGACATGTATGGAGAAAGGATCCATCATGCTTGACAGGGAGGCTTCTTCTCTTCCACAGTTGGTGGGTAAGTATGTTGTTTAAAGTTTTTATCATCTTTTTAGCTCTACCAACCTGTCCATGGGTGTCCGTTAACGCAGATGAATTCTATAACATTTATTTTCTCTCTTTTTTTTATACTATAAAACTAGTAAGGTTTGTTGCAGGTTTGGAAAATATAGGCAGATATTGAGAAGAAAATAAAAAATCATCCATCGTGCCTCCATAGCCATTGTTAGCATTTTGGCATGTTTCTATCCAGTTGTTATTTCTCAGTCTTCTCTTTTATGCTTTTGATTTTTCACATTATTTTTATTGGGATCAAAATGTGTATGTACAGATCTTCATTCACTTCCCTCGCTTATTAGTGGAAGGTTAATATTTAGAATGGAGGCTCCCTGCTCCTATCCTTGGTTATATTGGACTGGAAGTATGGAGACTAGATTTCTAGAACTCTGACCTTAGACATTGCACTGAGCTTCTCTGGGCCTCGGTTTTATCATCCGTAAAATAGGGTTTATGTCCTATGTCAGAAGGAAAATAGTCTAGTTGCTGGGTTGGGACTAATTTTGTAGGTGGAAGTCAAGATCCTTTAACTATATGTAAGAAAGGTTGTGGGGAGCAAGGAGCCAGCAGCCGCATGTACTAGCCACATGGGCTAGTGACTGGTCCTGTCACATTGGTGCTGAGTGTCATTTATACACCCACCAGCAAGTCACTGAACCTCCTGGTGCATTGGTATCTTTTGCGATTAGTGCTGTGTAGTGAATGTTAACTCATTACGTTGAACGCCTTGAGCACACATCACTACATTCCAAACAGTAGTAATTGTTTTCATTTTCTAACAAAAGCCTGGCCTAAACTGCCTTATTACCCTACAGATCTAGGGGTACTGAAGATCATGTTTTTCTCAAAATGAGATACAGGGGCTCTGTTTGTCATTCCCAGGAAAATTCAATAACTAGATGTCCTCTGGACCTATATGGATGACTACACTTTTCCAAGTGGGCTGCAGGGTGCCTCATTTGGGATATATGGGGAAGACAGCATGGATTGTGGCCCCACAGAAAGTGACCAGTATAAAATTCTTGTATATCAGACTCACCACAAAATTTCTTTGAATATCTATAGCCAAAAGGCTTGTCTATGGCATCTCTGTTGTTGTTGTTTTTTAGCAAGATAGTAGGAAAGCTATAGCATTTGTATTGGAAGAAAAGGTTAGTTGTCAAATGAGGCATATATCTTACTGATGTATATGTATCTGATTCTTCTTCAGAGAGCTTGTTAGCTCCATTTGCAAAGAAGTCCCACACTTTTCATGAACCTGAGACACTTTAAGGTACACGTGGAGAAGGGGGAAGTGTAAATATGTCTTCATATGGGGTGGCCAGAATTAATTAGTTCCTGCATTTATTCAGCAGTGGTGCATGAACTTCTACAGTGTGCCAGACACTATTCTAGGCCCTGGAATTACGTTTGCAAATCTCTCACTTTGTACATGAGATAAGTTACAAATCCACATCCACAGAGGTTAGAAAATAATGTAGGAAATAATGCTGCATGTGGAATTTTTCACATATGACCAGGCAAGTAAGGCTGAAAATGAGATACAGGGGCTCTGTATCTCTGGAGAGATCTTGGATTTTTGTACCCAGGGAACAAGAGCCTGTCTACAAAGACAGAAGCAAACAGAAGGGATGGTTTTCTGGGTGATTTGTTTTGCTGCAAGGGAGATTGTTACTCAAAAAAATATCATGGTTAGCAAAAATCCGTCCAGTTTTTGAGTGAGAACTGCAATTTCTGTGTTTTCAGACTTTAAGAACTAATCTGGAGCAAAGATGTCTGAAATTAGACAAGTTGAAAAAATAAGTCAGAAACTTAACAGGAACCCATGGGGGAGGGGAAGGAAAAAAAAAAAAAGAGGTTAGAGTGGGAGAGAGCCAAAGCATAAGAGACTGTTGAGAACTGAGAGCAAACTGAGGGTTGATGGGGGGTGGGAGGGAGGAGAGGGTGGGTGATGGATATTGAGGAGGGCACCTTTTGGGATGAGCACTGGGTGTTGTATGGAAACCAATTTGACAATAAATTTCATATAAAAAAAAGTCAGAATGCATAAATGCTGGATAAAATGGGAATTAAGCTTGTGGCTAGGCAATATATACAGTCTCGGAGGAGAATATGTGTTATGGTTTAAGGGTCACTAGAAAGTTTGCAGTAAGTAAGAAAGTAAGTCCTACAGTAGAACTTGGGCTTTTCTATAAAACTGTCTTCAGGATCTTTAGTACTAGAAGGAACCATCCTAAGGAGCTTCTGATCTTTGGCAACTGACTGATCTTTTCCATGCAGTTGGAGACAGAATCCCATATTATATTGGAGCCTTGTTTAGCCACTGGCCAAAGAAAGAGGTTCTGGTATTCACCAGACTTAAGGAAGATTCATTAAGCATTTTATGTTTTCACTTTAGTTTTCCATGACTTTTTATTATCAGTTGTGGACTTTTTCCCTAACCACCATCTCTTTACTTTTAAAAATTGTCATTAAATTGTAAAATTAGGCACCACCATGTCACTTTGAAGTACCATCACTCATTCTGGAGCTGATAATACAGAAAAGCAATCCAGAGGCAAATAACATACATTACCAGCAAAAGAAAGGAGGGAGGGAGGAAGGGAAGGAAGGAAGGGAGAAAGGTGGGGGCGGGAAGAAAAGGATCAAATTTGCAGGGGTGGAGGAAGAGTGTGTTTGGAAGAGTGTCCCTGGCTGAAAAAAAATATTTAAAAATCCTCGAAGAATCAAAACATTACAGAGGGTTAAACAGCATGAAGAAAAAAGTGCCCTAATTTTGCTTTAAATGACAGAAGATGGCACAGTAACTTGAAGAATTATTGCCATTATTTGGTTATTACAACATCCTTTTCTAGCAGAAGGTGAAGCCGCTGTTTTGTTCTGCATTGTGCTGATAATTCAGAGTTGTGAATTATGTACAGTTCAGTCTCTAAGATGCATCTCCCCTCCTCCCCTTATCTCCACAAAGGAGAAGTGAAAGAAATAATAGTGGGTGTGATTATATCAAACAAACAACAGCATGATTTTTATCTTTCTTTGCAATCTACCTGCTCCTTCTTCTCAGTGGCCTGCTTCTGAGAGGCATCCTCCCTCTGCAGGTGCAAAGCTATCACCATGTGACTGTTTAAGCAGGTGTCGCTTCTCATACTTACACACAGCATTCAGCCTAGTTCTGATTCTCCTCAGGACCTCTCCTTGTTTTCTTCATGGAGAACCCCTTTGAATGCTAAGAAAAATACTTGCCTTTAAAATAATTAAAGGATAAAACATTACATGGATTATTTTGATAGGTTGATTATTACTATCATCATTATAGTCCTACAATGAAAGAGTGTCATTCCCACATGAAGGCAACTGCATGAGGATTTTCCTACCCTCCTAAGTTAAAAAAAATCATAAGCCATTTCAGGTATTGTATTATGATGGGAAATGGATTAGGAAAATGTAGCTCTATCTATTTTTGGAGTTCTCATTTTTATATTTAAAGGCATTGCTGGGCTGTACGTGTTGGCAGATGTGTTAGTCATGTCGTTCCTTGCTTTTAACACCTTTTAGATTTTCAAAATGGCAATGTATTTTTTATCACAAAAGTAATACATGTTCATTGTGAAATAATCCAGAAAAATAGAACACACAAAAATCAAAATACCACCATTCACAGCAGTTTTTGTACATCTCCGTTTACGCCTATGAAATTTATTTTACTAATGGGATCATACTGTAACACTTTAATCTGCCCTTTTTAACTTAAAAACTTAACACGAATTTCTTTCCATGTGATTAAATATATATGTGAACATGATTTTGATGTCTGCAAAATATTTAATAATCTATTATTGGGCATTTAAGTTGCCTTCACATTTTTATTGTAATGAATAAGCGAACATTTTGTTATAGTTGCGTGAAATTGTTTACTTTTTAGTACAGATTTCTAATGGTGAAATATTCAGAGAGTTTGAATGTATGGAAGGGTTTTGTTTACGTATTTGCTGAGTGGCCTTCAAGAAAGGTTGTACTAGTTATTACCATCACCCTCAGGATGTGGAATATTCCCTGTGGCACCCACTTTTCACATTCATATATACATTTGGCCACTTTGGTAGATTAGTAAAATCTCATAATTGGTTATATTTATAAATTACCTTTGTTAGTCTTGAAGTTTAATGTTTCTTGGACCTTGTATTTCATTTGAAAATGTTTATCAGGGTGCCTGGTGGCTCAGTCAGTTAAGCATCTGACTCTTAGACTTCAGCTCAGGTCATGATCTTGCCGTTGGTGGGTTTGAGCCCCACGTCGGGATCTGCGCTGACAGTGCGGAGCCTGCTTGGGATTTTCTCTCTCTCTCTCTCTCTTTCTCTGCCCCATTCTGCTCATTCTCTCTTTCTCTCTGTCTGCTCATTCTCTTGTCTCTCTCTCAAAATAAATAAAACTAAAAAAAATGTTTATCACTTTTGGCCATTTTTTTTGTTGTTGTTGCACGAACACCACCATTCTCTTGGTTTGCAGAAGCCCGTGCATATATCAGGTTTTTGTTTGTTTGTTTGTTTGTTTGTTTGTTGACTGTTGTCTTGGGTCTAGGGCTTTTTTATTTTTATTATTTTTTAATTTTTTTAACATTTTTATTTATTTTTGAGACAGAGAGAGACACAGCACGAATGGGGGAGGGTCAGAGAGAGAGGGAGACACAGAATCTGAAACAGGCTCCAGGCTCTGAGCTGTCAGCACAGAGCCCGACGTGGGGCTCACACTCACAGACCGCGAGATCATGACCTGAGCCGAAGTCAGACATGTAACCGACTGAGCCACCCAGGCGCTCCTAGGGCTTATTTTTTAAAATGGAGAAAGCCACTGTGTGATATGGGGAACGATGTAAAGTGTGAGTCCAGAGAACCTGGTTTCACTTGGGCAGCTGCACCTCTAGTTGGGCTTCTCCTGAGAGCGAGTCACCTCTTTTGCCCCCTCTTTTCCCAAATCTGTGTGACAGGAGGCTGAACTTGGTGTTTCCTGAGCTCTCTTTCAGCTCTGCCATCATCTGTGGTTGGCACGTTCCCTCCCAATTGGTAGTGGTTGTGGGATTTTGAACACTGAAGGCTTAATTTCAGTGTAGCTGTTAAATGTTACTGCCCCCACTTTCCTCGAAAGGTTTTGTAGTTTGTACTTAAAAAGATCCCTGTAATGTGGGCTGTTTTATGGAAACGTAATGAAGGACATAAGCCACACAGATGTCTTAACCTGTTCTAACTGGTGATTTCCAGGCATTAGTAACAGAGGGCTGGCTGTGCATATGTATGCATAGGTTTGAGATTACAAGGGAAGGCAGGCACAGAGGGAGGCCCTGCCAGGAAGGGTAGATAAGAAACACTTTAATCCACAACCCTGGAATTAGAGTAGGAGCTTGATAACATGTGCCACAAATACGCTGGGGCCGTTTGCTTATTTTTATGGTTCTTCTGTCAAATGGACCTTCTGCAGTGAACAAGACTTAAAGGGATAGTAGAGGAGTAGCACCTAATTACTTTACTATGGAACAGAAGGTTAACTGTATAATTATAGGATCAGTTCTGAGAGTTTCACTGAGAAGGGTTTGTACAGTTAAAACCACTCAGAGCTAAAGGCCACTCTCAAACCAAAACATTCCTATGGGAGAAACTCTTCCTGCCTTGCCCAAGCTCCCCACCAAGTGGCCCAGTGTTATGTGACATTTATGGCATTTGTATAAGACATGTAATGGAAAATTCAGGAGTCAGCCTCTGCTTGGCTTCTAAGTTGATTATATACTGTAAGTTGTCAGTTTCTAGCTATAGGTTGTGAGGTCGTTCTGTGAGTGCTTGCTATTAAGATGGTCCTCTGAGTGGTGCAGTTATGCCCAGGCAGAGCCCCTGGAACATCTGTGACTTCAAAGAGATAGCGGTGCTTAGGAGGCGTTACCCTTCCAGTTCCCATCAATTTTTGGTCAGTCTTTTGCAAGAGAAGAGTTTTTCTTCTCTTCTTCACTTTTCTATACTGAGAACTTTGCCCAAGCGGAAAATGTTGAAGTGTGCTAGATGCACTCATATACCTGAAAAGGTAAAAGGTAGGCATGGGATCCATAGTTCTTTCTGGTTCTAGAGAGGGGACAAAAGCAGTACGTGCATACAGTGAGTGAGATAATGTCCTACCACTGCATATCTTGTGATGTTTTGTCCCGTGCGCTGTTCTGGACAGAGGAAATGTTGGCCTGTGGTGACCAGGCTGCATTTCTGCCATGCTGCTAACGTGCTGACTTGTGAGAAAGAGGATTTCTTCCTTTAGAGTAAATCTTGTCCATTAGCAGAGCTCCCCATGGAGCAGTTTCTATGAAACACAGTTATCTTTTCCAATTAAAGCCATTCTAAAAACAAGAACTTATAAGAAATTATAACTTTTTTGTAGTAAGGTGAAAATTTCCTAGAAAATTCTGGGCAGGTTAAATTTTAAAATGATTAGTGGAATATATTGGAAATCCTTTTGTTGGATCCAAAAGAAGAATAAGCCTCCCTTCTTAGAAAAGACGAAGGCAGTTTTGTAGTTTAGTCTTTCTTTCATGGGATTAATTAGTGTTCGCATAACCTGATATGGGGAAGAGTATTGTCTTCCTTTACTTCGTCCTATTTTAAGGAAAATATATCATTACAGAAGGATTTGGGAAAACAGATCTAAAATTCAATAATGTCACTACATTAAATTTTGCATATTCGCAAGTTTTTTTTAAATATCACTTGTATTTCTGGCATACTTGCTATGATAGAGAACATGAATTTTCTAATCTTACTCTTTTTTACCTAATTGAAAAAATGTAAATTACTGACTTAGTGTGTTACTCCTAGAAGATTGTGATTAATGTGAATTCACTATTAACTGGGATTGAAAAAAGACAAGATGATTCTTTCTCTCCAAACATATAATTCATAGTGGAATATTTATAACTCTCTCATTAATGCTAGAATCTGTGTGTCCTGTATCTTTACCCTTCATATAAAGTGGGAGGTTGGAAATTTGGGAAATAGTATATTGATATAAAATTTGAGGATGACATCCATAAAGTTGGAGTAAAAAGTAACTTTGTGATCTTGTGACTGAGTTTTGCTTTTTGTTTTTGTTTTGCCTTTTTTTTTTCTTTTTTGTATCAGAGATGATTGTTGACCATCAGATTGAGACAGGCCTATTGAAACCTGACCTTAAGGATAAGGTGACCTATACTTTGCTCCGGAAGCACCGGCATCAAACCAAGAAATCCAACCTTCGATCCCTGGCTGACATTGGGAAGACAGTCTCCAGTGCAAGTAGGATGTTTACCAACCCTGATAATGGTAATGCAGGGCCAAGCATTTGCCTCACTCTTTTACCTCACTCCATCTCTGACCTTTACTTCATCTCGTGTCCTCTGTTGTTTTTACTCTTCACCATATTTCTTCTTTCCTCAAGTTCATATGCCACTGCCATTTCCTAATGACACTTTTATCCAGTTGGGCAGGTTTGCAGTCCTGTTGGAAAGATTTCAGCAGTTACTAAGGCTGCAAATGCCAAGATGCCTTGCTTGCTTCATATATATCTATTCTGATTGACTGAGTTGGTTTGGTAATAACGCTATGATGAAACAACTGAATATTTCAGATGAGTCATCAAACTTGTAGATTTTTGAGTATATCAAGGAATATGCTTTAGACTTGGGGGTTTGTCAGAATTAGGATGATAGACTAAGATATGATAAATGCTCTGAATTCTAATATCATACAGTGTTTGCTTGGTATGTGAGATGGCGTCCAGTCTATAAATGATCATTTATCCAAAGCTTAATATTTATTACTTAATGAAGTCTAGGACTACAAAAAAGTCTGTCTGTTCTTTAGTTATATGATCATGATGGTTAGATATGAGAATAATTATTCAAGGTAGGATTTTCACCCCATTATATACTAATAGGAAAGGCACTGTGTCTTGTTTATACTCTTGCATTTGGCAGACTTTTCTGTAAAATATCTTTTGTATTATTGTTTTTGTTTCAAATACATTTCATGGTTGGGTATAATCTGAGGAGGGAGAAGCTAATTTCAATGAAGTCTGAGAATGAAAGCATGGTGAAAGTGTTGCTAAGCATTGGGCTGGTAAAACCAGCTCTGGGTCATCCCACCCCTGGTCTTTTTTGGTACCAAGAGAAATGGGTAGATAAGGGAGCTTCTAATTCATTGCCCTCATCTGTATGTACAGAATAGTGTAAGATATTTTGCCCTGGAAAAGGTGGACTAAATGAATTGTATAAACTGAATTCTAACTTAGCTACTCCATTTCTGGAAACTGAGTTTTCTGACTTAGTGTTAAAATTAAGCGTTGGCTGGAAGAGAGCTCACTATTAGCAAACTTTCTCTGGTGTATTTTTGAGCCATTCCATTATTGTAGTTTCTTAATGAGTGTCTAGTCGTTAAATAGAACCAAATGAAAAGGTCGGTTTTATTGAGTGACTTACGCATTGATATAACTGTTACCATAAATTTTTTTAAAAGCAAAACAAATTATAAATAAATAATTCAAAATAAAACGCTTTATAAAAAAACATTGACAAGAAGAAGAATCTAATCTAAAATATTCCCACTACAGTTTGATGGTTCTATCATTATCTGGAATATTGGTGCTGACTGGAAATATTTTCTTTTTTATGTATGTCTTTGTTTTCTTTTTTTTTTCTTTTTAATTGTATTTTGAAGAGTTTAATGGCTGGAAATGTTATAGGATGACCAGTTGGTTACAACTGATGTCACAAATACTTTGTTTTAAAAACAACCCCTGTATTCTTTTTTTTTTTTTTTTTAGTTTATTTTTTATTTTGAGAGAGAGAGAGAGAGAATGCGAGCGAGAGAGAGCAAGCAGGTGGGAGAGGGGCAGAGAGAGGGAGACAGAATCCCAAGCAGGCTCCACACTGTCAGCACAGAGCCTGATGTGGGGCTCAAACTCACAAACCGTGAGATCATGATATAAGCCGAAGTCAGGAGTCAGACGCTTAACTGACTGAGCCACCCAGGAGCCCCCAACGCCTATTTTTAAAATTATGGCAACTAAAGTAAAAGTCTGTCTTTAATCTTATTTCTTATTCTTTTCTTCATATGAAATGAAATTCCATGATTTGGAAATCAATTTTTTTTTATCCCGAAGCTGGTACTTACTGTAGAGAAGCAAGAAAGTGCATTGTTTTCAAGTATCACTGTATTTGCAAAGAGAAGCGGAATGCATATGGCAGAGGGAGCGTGGCTTCCACCAGTCTGGGTTGAGCTTCATTTTCATGAAGTGCAATTAGAGTAGAAATTAAGAACAGATGGATCTTGGAGGCCAGTATTTTGTGCTTCAGGAGAAAATATTTGGATGTGGAATACAGCTAATGAGTTGATATCATCCATCATTCAGTTCTTTTATCCTATCAGTAGATCTTTATACTTCAGAGCTAAGTTGAAATTGCCTTTGTCATTCACCTTTCACTTGTGAAATGTTACATATGCCGGGCAGAAAGCAAATAGGGAGAGCAGTCAGCTCTTCCTTCCCAGCTCTTCAGCTGATCAGTTTACACCCTGAAGCATGGAATAAGATTAGGCCTTTTTAAACATGTTTTTATTGGCCTTTGTGTTACCTAACTCCTTTTAAATATCCAGAGGCAAGATTTGACTTAGAGAGATTCTACAGTAATGACTTTCATGTACCTCTAAAATACGTTATTATAAATGGTCAGATGGCAAATTTTTGGGGTTTTTTTCAAGTTTATTTATTTTCGGAGGGAGGGAGGAACGGGGAGAGAGAGATAGAGAGAGAAAGAGAAAGAACACAAGCAGGGGAGGAGCAGAGAGAGAGAGACAGACAGAGACAGAGAATCCGAGGCAGGCCCTGTGCTCGTCAGCTCAGAGCCTGAGGCGGGGCTCAAACTCAGTCACTGTGGGATCATGACCTGAGCTGAAATCAATAGTTGGACCCTTAACTGACTGAGCCACCCAGGTACCCGATAAATTTTTGGTTTTCTAGAGGCACTTATATTCTTCTTGCAAGTTTACACAGTTACCTTTCTATGTTCGGGTTTAATTACTTAACATCTTTAACTATGAAATATCTCAGAATACATTTCTAAAACAAAGAATTATAAAGTTGTTGCTACTATTTTAATAAATGAGAATCTTGTGTCTAGTGTTGGACCTAGTTCTAACACCGAAAAACCTAGATAAACTTCAGTCACTTTACTCTACTGTTATAGGCTAGAAAATAGACATTGCTTTCTTTAGTTATGATGGCAATAGAGTAGTTAATAGCTGCAATGTATACTTTAGAATTGGGATTTTTTTTTTTTTAAATTTTCCAGTGGTGATGGAGCTGCTTCTTCTATTCACAAGAGGCAGTCAGGAGTTTTGCAAGCCAGTTGTTAAGCACAGATAGTATTAAATATCAAATTATGTATGTATACAATTAAATAATGATATTAAAAACAAAGGTAATAAATACTCATTCAGATTCACTATTTCCTATTTATTTTATTGCATGCTACTAGAGTTTATACACTTCAGGTTATTACCATCTATTGTGTATATATAAACACACATAAAATGGTATGCTGTCATTTCTTCCCAACTCTGTTCATAGGCTTCATTTTGGTCACTTGCAATAAGTCATTGTGGTAGTATTTACGCCAAAGAATTCAGAAAATTCAAATCAGGGCTTGATTTATGTTTTGTCACTTGTCTATAGACTTTAAAAAGTGATGGAGAAAATGCTAATAATGCCGATTAAATGTGTCTAGTGTCTATAGCCATTGCCTAGTAAGCTTGAGCTCTTAACAAATGACCATAGACTGGGTGGCTTGAACAACAAGCATTTATTGCTCACAGTTCTGGAGGTTGGGAAGTCCAAGATCAAGGTGCCATAGATTGGGTTTTCGGTGAAGGCCCTCTTCATTGCTTGTAGATGGTTGTCTTTTCATTGTATCTTCACATGGCAGAGAGAGATCCATCATCTTTCTCCTGTCTCTTTTCATAAGGGCACTAATCCCATTCAGGAATGCTCTGCCCTCATAACCTAATTTTCTCCCAAGGGCCCCACCTCCTACTATCACATTGGGTAGGAGGGTTAGGATTTCAACATATGAATATTGTGAGGATACAAATATTCAGTTCATAACAGCTTTTAAAATGTGAGGGGCATAAGGAATCAAGTATATGTTCTGCTGGCATTCAAAAACTATTATCCAGTTTAGCACTTTGTCTTCATTGTTTCACTTTTATCCTACCTGTTAACATATATGATAATGGATATTCAACAAGGATGTTGCAACTATGTTTGGTCAGAATCAACTGACTATATGCAATTCACAAGAGTATCCTATATTTCATTATTACTTGTATGTGTGCTGCCTGTCCTTTATATCAGTAAAATTTATTACACACAAACACACACGCACGCACGCACGCACTTTCCCCTGGAGAGTTGGTTTTTGCAAACATTTAGCATCATACTCACTTAACAGCCTACCACTGTCTCTCTATAGCTAAAGATTAGCTTGCTGTTTAGGGTCCCAATGTAGCTGGGTTCAAGGTGGTTTAATGTTTTTTAAAAGAAATGAAAAACATTTGTATTTGTAATAAATCAGGAAAGAATCAGGCTAGCTTCCAAGATGTTAATTGCGAAATTACCACTTGTCTGAGACATCTGTGAATTCTGATGGACACATCTGCCAGGTACTAAATTTTAGGCAAGTGCTATAATTTCCCAATATATTAATTGAAGTATTTTTATGGAGTTAGCATTAGGTTTTCATTTCTTCTGGTGTTAGATTTTCTTTTGCCCCCTGTTGCTTACTGTCATTTTACCTTGAACCATATGAAATTGCCATTTTGTGGGTAAAGTTGACTGTCAGCACTTTCATATAGTTCTACTTAATAATTTGGTTTGGGATACTTAGATAATCTGTATTATTATAGTATATACTATGAAAGAACATTTAAGCCTAGGAACATTCCTTGGCAGTATTTAAAAATCTAATAAGATGTATTTTGTTTGCTTTTTATTAGAAAGTGAAAGTAAAGTTTGTACTTAATTGGTATGTATGCAAATTCTTTAGTAAGATGTTTATGACAAGGTTACCTGATAACTGTTGTAAGGAATCATGGTTTGTTAGGATGGTCTGATTTTTAAAAAATATTAATTTTAAAATATTTTTTATTTAAATATATTTTAAATATTCCATTTAAATGGATCCTTCTGATATGTATTGTCTAAGGTTATAAAAGATGAATGAGACCTGATTTAAGGACAAAAACTAACTGGGAACCTTAATTTGAATAGT